TACAATACAATACAATACATTATAAAACTCATTAATATTCATAAGGCAAAACACAATAGAAATCATAGCCCATGAAGAGAGTTGTATATTACATACAGATTTCTTGTTCCTTTGCATAAACTTTTACTCTGATTTTCTCAGTCAGATTGAATTTTTTTTCAAAAGTTTCTTTAAAACCTGAGCTAATTTACCTTAACGTTTCATAAGTAATATACAATATTTGCGTGCGATCTGTATGAGTTTTAAAACAGCTCGCTTTCAGCTCGCTGTTCTAAATCCTCATACAGATCGCCCGCTCATATTGTATATATTACATACAATACAATACAATACAATACAATACAATACAATACAATACAATACAATACAATACAGTACAATTTACTTGAAATATTCCCAAATTTACATGGTATTACTTATATATTATAGAAACTAGTAAGATAGTTTTGTAACAGTAACAATATGAAATAATATCTATCTATAAAATATATAAATTTTATAAAAATAAAAGTAAAATAACGATATATGTTATAATGTACAAATATATATAAAAAAAAATGTAGGATTTTTATTCAATGGTGCCATACCGTCGTCGAATTCGACCTTTAACGTTTAACCAAAAGTATAATAATGAAGTAAATGCTATTTGAAGACTTTCCTATTCTATCACGCATATAAACAAGGCCAACAAATAGCGATGCAGAGTGCCTAAATAATGAAACCCTGCGGGCAGGGTGAGACGTCCCAGGCAGTGATCTGTGTTTTGCAATATATGATAGAGTAGGGGCATGGGGGATTACTTAGTCCTTATAATGGTCTATACTTACAACATATGCTAGGTATGTATACTAGCCGACATTATGAAAATTCAAAAAAATATTATGTAATGTAATCTTTTCGCTGACCATTATGCAAATGAGTTTGTAGGAACCGTCTTGCATGATATCATTGGCTCCAGCACTATGACTTGTTTTGGGGTCTGTTTGGATGAGGGGTTTTCAAGAGGGTAGGCAAGGTGACTTATGGCAGTGTGTTGTATACTCGACTTACACAGTACACGTGTGTGTCAAACTCGTTTTAATCATGTGATCAATTAACATACATTAGCATATATAACACAGAGTGTTTGGACGAGTCATGTATCAGATGTGGGTATCAGGGATTTTGATTACTTTAATTTTGAAATTTTAAAGTACATACCCGCATAAAAAAAACTGGATCTCTCCCTGTAGAGGGTGGATAACCTTTTAAAACATGCATTTCTGATAGGGATAAAACGATAAAAGAGAAAATAAAAGTATGTGTTATTGTCTGTCTTTCACAATTCCTAACGTCAACCCGGCTCAACATCTTATGGAGAACAAGAATTGAACGATTCAACAAGATAGTTGAAGATGATAAAAATAATAAGAGAAACAATGAGAGGCTTCTTGATAGAGAAGAGACGTCTAGTGAAAATACCGTCGTAGGTTCATACATTAGTATAGCTGGATACAGTCATATTAACGATATTGAAGTACATCTACTAATAGTAGTGAAAGTAGTATAGGTATTCAGGAATAAGCAACATCCTGGACTCCCAGAGCTTTCGTGACTATTGACCACTATTACATCCTGATCTAAACAATAGAGTAGATAGTTTAATGGTTAAGGCAATATGCACGTGTTTGTGGAAAGGCCGGTGTTCAGAGGGAGGTACAAAGGACTAAGAGATTTCGTAGTGCATGATTACTCCTACGGTCAGCTTTACCATAAACAAATTTGAACCACCCCTGCACAAAACCCTTGTGTAATATGATAACAATTCTCCGTTATGTACAAATGCAGTATTAAAGCAATAAAGATCCTGGGCCTGGCTGGCTGACAGGCACAACGGTCAAACATCTGTGTTGCTGTTCATCAGTATAGTAGAGTCAAAATAAGGAAGCCAAATTTGGGAAAATTATAAAGTTACGAGTGCACAGTATGATGTTTCCTAATTCTAAAACGCCGGCTAAAGCCATATGCTTGTTTATCAACAGTAATATAAAAATTAGGTAACACCTAATAGCGAAGCTCCAATAGCAATATAGAAGCTGAAAATGATTATCTAGTACTGCTATTTCAAAGGTAGATGCTCTGTTCTAAGGAATGTAAGTTAAAACAGTTTTGTTGACATGCGAACAAATATTATAAACATATTTATTAATTTTAGCGTAAGAAAGAGTATGTTTATGAAAATTTAGTCCGTACTTAAGCTTATCAGTATTGACTTCGGTAGATTTTGTTCCGTTGAATGAAGTTTAATATTATAATCTGTAAAGGTCAATTGATTTAAAGCTTCTCGTCAAAAAAGTTCAAAGGTCATCTTCAACTGAACCATACTTGTTTCAAGCATAAGTTTCATCAATTCATAAAGTCATTCAAGACTGCCGATTCTTTATTTTTAATCTCTCTCAATCTATTAAACTGCTAGCATGGTCTTGGTTTCAAAATGTCCACAATTTTAGTCGACAAAAGAATTTCGCATAGATCGCTGCTTTTTCCCATATTGGTCCATATTTTTGAAGTATTTCCAATACATTATCATCTCTTTCTTGTTGTCGAAATATCAAAGTAAAATCACTTATAATATGGGCCTAAATATATACGCTTGAAATAAATTGCTTTTCATCTTCGCAAATCGATTTCCCGGATGTGCGGACGCGTCGAAGTTATGACAAAATTGGCGGGAATATTTCTGTGCTGYTATTTCGCTCTTCTGTRGATTTTTTGCTTGTGATTAATTGTTCTAATATTATCAATATGGCATATAAATGTTTCAGGAAAACATTTCGATTTTTCAACAAATATTTGCCGCTTTTTTCCTTTTCGAGCGGAGTATGGGAAGGACGGAAGGACGGAAGGACGGAAGGACGGAAGGACGGACGGAAGGAAACGTGCGTACGCTCTGGAACCCTGTGTCGGTCCATGGAAAATCGACTGGATGGTATACCATTTTTTCTTAGCTATGGTGCTCCGCTCGTGCGGGACTTCGGCCCGCGCGCGAGCTCCGCTATAAAATACTCTTTAGAAAGTGATCTAAGAAGTAGTTTGTAGCTTTTTCATAGAGAAGTCACTCATTTGTATTTGGTAAAAATAAATAAAATAATAAAAAAAGAAATTGTTTATCTGGTTCATCTTTTCTTTGTCTTCTTAAACTTATTTGTTTTTACCACAGTACAGATGCTCTTATTTCTATGACAACCTTTTTGCAATTACACAGCCTCAGCGGAACGCTATTCAAAATATTTCGCGGCTCCCCATTCGTCCTTGGAGAGCGTGATATTGAAACCAATAGCTTACCAATGTTGTAAAGAGCTTCTCCTTCTCCTTGTTTATCGCATCTGTCACTAGCAATGGAAAGATGCTTTTCGTGGCAATTCTTTGCTTCATTGTAATTATGTGTCAACTGATAAACATTTCCTAAGCTGTCATAAGCATTTCCTTCTCCCTGCTTATCACCTATTTCTTCAGCAATCTTAAGGCTCTTTTGGAAACATTCAATACTCCGATTTCGAGTTCTGGTTTGCTCTGTGTTAGCCTCAAAACCACGCAAAATATTCTTTTGTTTCATTGATAGCCCGAGAAAACGCATGGAATTTGAAAAGAAAGACAATGGAATTGATTTGAAATCTCACACTTTTATTCTCACAATTAGGAATATTTTGCGTACAAATGAGGCTATCACAGAGCATTGGAGAATTGGAAATTGGATTATTGCCTTGTCATTTTCTTTTAATGATGCTAAGGCATTTCCTACGTTTCTGTAAGCTGTACTTTCTTCCTTTTTGTCACCTAAACTTTTAGCAATGGCAAGGTGTTTTAGGCAATATGGCATAGCCCTGTCATTATCGCCCAAGTTAGTATGAACTTTTCCTA